AAGGACGCCCCCGTTTTTCGGTGTAGTTGTGTGTAATTTTTTTATGGTGTGTTTTCGGTGTAGTATGTGTAATTTTTTTAGTGTGTGTTTTCGGTGTAATGTGAGTATATTGTTTAGTGTGTGTTTTTTGTGTAGTGTGTGTAATTCTTTTTAGTGTGTGTTTTCGGTGTAGTTTGTGTATTTTTGGTGTAGTGTGTGTAATTTTTTCTTGCGTGTGTTTTCGGTGTAGTGTGTTTATATTTTTTAGTGTGTGTTTTCGGTGTAGTGTGTGTAATTATTTTTAGTGTGTGTTGTCTTTTAGTGTGTGTTTTCGGTGTAGTGTGTATATATTTTTTAGTGTGTATTTTCGTAGTAGTGTGTGTATTTCTTTTAGAGTGTGTTTTCGGTGTAGTGTGTGTATATTTTTTGTGTGTGTGTTTTCAGTGTAGTGTGTGTATATTTTTGTAGTGTGTGTTTTTTGTGTAGTGTGTGAATTGTTTTAAGTGTGTGTTTTCGGTGTAGGGTGTGTATTTTTTTTAGTGTGTGTCTTCGGTGTAGTATGTATAAAAAAAATTTCACGATCAAAATCACAAAAAACTATATATACTATAGGACACATATTTTAGTTAAATTTTGTGCAACGTCAAAAAAACTATTTCACGATCAAAATCACCAAATACTATATACGATAGTACACAAATTGTAGATAAAATTGGAATAAGTTTTTGGTGATTTTGATCTTGAAAAAGTTTTTTGGACGTTCCACTAATTTTACCCAAAATATGTGTAGTATATGGTATACAGTTTTTGGTGATTTTGATCGTGAAATAGCTCTTTGGACGTTCCAATAATTTTACCAAAATCCGTGTTATATATAGTATACAGTTTTTGGTGATTTTGATCGTGAAAAGTTTTGTGGACGTTACACAAATTTTACCCAAAATCTGTGTACTATAGCGTACATTTTTAGGTGATTTTGACCGTGAAAAAAGGTTTTTGGACATTCCACAATTTTTTCCCAAAATTCGTTTACTATATGGTACAATTTTTGGTTATTTTGATCGTGAAAAAGTTTTTGGGACGTTCCACAAATTTTTCCCAAAATCTATGTATTATCTATACAGTTTTTGGTGATTTTGATTGTGAAAACGTTTTTTGGACGATTCACCAGTTTTATCAAAAATTTGTGCACTATAGCATACAATTTTTGGTAAATTTGACCGTGAAAAAGTTTTTGGGGCGTTCCACTAATTTTCCCAAAATCTGCATATTGTAGTATACAGTTTTTGGTGATTTTGATCGTGAAATAGTTTTTTGTACGTTCCACCACTTTTACCCAAAATTTGTGTACTAGTATACAGTTTTTGGTGATTTTGATCATGAATTTTTTTTGGACGTTCCACCAATTTTACCCAAAATATGTGTACTGTAGCGAAGAGTCTTTTGTGATTTTGATCATGAAAAAGTTTTTTGGACGTTCCACAAATTTTACCCAAAATCTATTTCTATATAGTATACAGTTTTGGGTGATTTTGATCGTAAAATAGTTTTTTGGACGTTCCACCAATTTTAACCAAAATATGTGTACTATACAGTTTTGGGTGGTTTTGATTGTAAAATAGTTTTTTGGACGTTCCACCAATTTTAACCAAAATATGTATACAGTTTTTTGTGATTTTGATCCCAATTTTATCAAAAAACTGTGTACTATATAGCATACAGTATTCGGTGATTTTGATCGTGAATTTTTTTTGGGACATTCCACCAATTTTACCAAAATCTTATTACTATAGTATATAGATTTTGGTGGTTTTGATCGTGAAATAGTTTTTGGGACGCTCCACCAATTTTACCAAAATCTTATTACTATAGTATATAGATTTTGGTGGTTTTGATCGTGAAATAGTTTTTGGGACGCTCCACCAATTTTACCTAAAATCTGTGTTCTAGTATACTATTTTTGGCGATTTTGATTGTGAAAAGGTTTTTTTGATGTTCCATCAATTTTACCCAAAATCTGTGTACTACAGCGTACGGTTTTAGGTGATTTTGTTCGTGAAAGAGTTTTTTGGACGTTCTACCAATTTTATCAAAATTTGTGTACTATAGTATACAGTTTTTAGTGATTTTGATCGTGAATTAGTTTTTTGGACGTTCCACAAATTTTACCCAAAATCTGTGTAGCGTACAATTTTTGATGATTTTGATCGTGAAAAAGTTTTTGTGACGTTCCACCAAGTTTACCCAAAATTTGTGTACTATTATATTATACAGTTTTAGGTGATTTTCATCGTGAAATAGTTTTTTCGGATGTTCCACCAATATTACCCAAAATATGTGTACTATTATAGTGTATAGTTTTTTGTTATTTTGATCGTGAAATAGTTTGTTTGACGTTCCACCAATTTTATCCAAAATTTGTGTACTATAGTATACAGTTTTTGGTATTTTGATCGTGAAATAGTTTTTTTAGACGTTGCACTAATTTTAACTAAAATTTAATGTACTATAAGTATACATTTTTTGGTGATTTTGATCGCGAAATCTTTTTTTGGACTTTCTGCAAATTTTAATGAAAATCTGTGTACATACAGTTGTTTGTAATTTTGATCGTGCAAAATTTTGTTGGACGTTCCACCAATTTTATCCAAAATATGTGTACTATAGCATACTATTTTAGGTGATTTTGATTATGAAATAGTTATTGTCAAATTACAAAAACACCAATTATGTTTGGGTAATTACAGTCACTCCCTCAATTCGAAAACAATTGGATGATGACAAAATTAAAATACCCGCCAAAGGTAAATTTAGGGATGTTAAATCGGTAAAACCGAACCGAAATTTCGGTACGCCAACATTTCATACCGTTTACCGAATTGAATATAACCGAACCGAAAATTCGGTAAGTACAATATTTTATACCGTTTACCGAATTGAATATATGATTTGGTTCGGTAAATAACCGAATTACATAAATTTTATGTAAAAATATTTAAAAGGAGGGGGTGACTGCAAGAGGTTTTTTTTTTTCCATAATTTGACCATACCTCGGGGGTGGCCGTAATTTGCCCAACATTTGTACACAAAATGTTGTATTGTTCGTATTTGTGTGGTAATTTTTTATATCTAAATTTTCGGAAGAGTGATTACATTGTTTGGCTTCTGTTTCTTTTGAAGGCTTTTATATTGGATTTTCGATCATTGTTTGGCTCGTTTTCTTAATTGGAATCGGGAAATAGTTGGCGAAGGAAAACTCGGCGAATTAGTTGTTAGTTTGGAAGTCGAATGGATTTGATTGGAGTGTTTATTGAGGGTAGGAGTGGGCGTAATTCAATAGGGTATTCGAAAATTGAGTTGAGTCATGTCTGTAGGGATGGAAATCAGATGAATCGGATCCGAATTAGCATTTTCTCAAGAAAATTGAAAATGAGAAACTAATTTCAATATTTGTTTAACAATAGTACATAAAAACTAAGCTTTTAAATTCTGTTAGTTTTCATAATGTGCAGTCTTGAACTATATTGTAGTTAAAGCTAAAGGAAATTATTAATCATTACCCTAAAGGGTGGTTTGGGGTATATTCGTCTTTTCGACGATGAGTTCTAGCAAGGGTACGTTCGTCTTTTTCACGACGATTTCTAGCAAACCCGAACTCGGCCCGTCTCGTCAACGGACTTTCCACGTATAAGAATAATTGAATGAGTGTTGTTCCTTGGAGAATTCCACAAGGCATGAGCCAATTTTTATAGTCAATTCCCTTTGGCACTACCAAAAAGAAAAAAATAAAACATTACAACGAGACTAATATTCAAGATTACATTGATAAGTTAAGACTTCGTAATTAGTACATTGTTTTTATAAATAATAATATTCTATACTCGTTTTAAAATATCAAATAAGTATTTGCTTTCAAACTATTTGTCCATTTAAATTTTAAAAAAGACATAATAATTACATTATTCTCAATTTTACCCCTCACCAGTCTTAATTAGTTGGACGATATACATTATTCTTAAAAAAAAATTAAATATCTTATTAATTTTCTTGTGAGAAAATCCACTATTTCATATATCGCAAAAAGAAATGATCCATCGGGATCAGGATTGCTATCTGATAATGGATCAGAGTGCAACAAAATCAAGCCATTTTCTTCAATTCATTCCAAGGTAAGAACTCAACAACCCCTTAATCAAAATCAAAGAACTATTAATACATTGTCGATTAGAAATACGGGATGCCAATCGTTAATAATTTTGTCATCATCCAATTGTTTTCGATGGGTCCGAGCCTCCGAGGCGACAATGTTATTTACGTACATACCTTAATTATTAAAGTAAATTACAACCACCCCTAGGTAATGTCTAATTTAGAAAAAAAAACCCTATTTTTTTCATAATTACGCCCCTCCTACGATCAGTAGATTTCTTGCATTAAACACCCCTCTGTAAGGGGTGAATGTAAGAAATTTATAAACTGCAGAGGGGGCAATCTAATTTTTCAAATAAAATGGGGTTAGTTTTGTAATTACACTTTTCCCTTAGTGAGGTGGTTGTAATTTACACTAATTTTTAAGTGAGTGGACTCGGACTCGGTAATAATTTCTCCATTTGCCTCTGAGTTGACTATGCCACAACAAAGTAATCACTCTACATTAATTCTTGCTAATTATCATTAATCCATTACAGATTTACATAATCACAATATCCCAAAAGCTTTCTCTCTCTAAAATCCCAGGGCAGCAATGGCGGACGAGAACTACGAAACGTCGAGGTTTAGTTTATTACCAGAGGGATGCATAGCAAACATCGTGTCCTTCACGTCACCCAAAGACGCGTGCAGGGCGGCGGCCGTTTCTTTGCTGGTCAAATCCGCCGCCGAATCCGACACCGTCTGGGAGCGGTTTCTGCCGCCGGATTACGGCGAGATCGTTTCGGGGTCGAATTCTCCGGTGGCGGCGTATTCCACCAAAAAGGAACTATATTTCTTGCTTTGTGACTCTCCTCTGCTTCTTGATGGTGGCAAAATGGTAATTTTTCTTCCGTTCTGTGGATTGTTTTGATTTTGGTGTTCTTGGATGATCGATCCCTTTACTATTTTATTGAGAGTAATCTGCAAAAATTACCTTGTGATAAATAGTCTAGCAAAAACCCGTCGATAAATTTAGTCAAAGGCAGAAACCGTTCTCGTTGACTTTTGTGTGGCTCACTCGTTGGATGTATGTTAAGACGCAAAATGACAAAATTATCCCTCAAAATGTACTTATATATGCATATATTTTTCTTTTAATTTATTTGTTTAGAAATTAAAATATTATTAAGAAAATAGTAAACAATTAAGTTGAAAAATTATTAAAAATTTGGTAATCAAAATTCAGTATATGTTTTTTAAATACAAAATAAAGAAATACATAATAATAGAATTTAAGTTTTGTTTTCACTCAAAAAAAAAAAATTTAAGTTTTGTTTTGGTTTAGGGATAATTTAAAATATATACATAAATTATCTGATAGCAATAAAGGACCATATTGTACTTTTCTAATTAAGATATAACAAAAATAAAATAATTAAAATATTTATATAATATAAGAATTTATTAATTGCAAAATCCCAGGGTATTTGTGTGTTTTTAATTTTTATATCATATCAACACTCAAATGAGTAACAAGCGAGTTTGCTATATAAATAATTTTATAGGTGATTTTTGCTAGTTTATTTATCATAGGGGTTTTCGCTATTTTGAGATTAAACAGGGGTACCTTTTGTAGTTTATTCATTTTATTGACATTGATTGTTATGTTGCGGGCAAGGTGTTTGTTAAAATGACACTGGTGCTAGATGTTTCTTGTTAATCTGATATATGTAAAATAAAAATAAAAAATCGATTTTTCTGGACTGAAAACTGTTCGATTTCACCGATGATTGTGAGCATCATATGTATCTCATCAAACACTACATATTTTGCACGTGTTTAAAATTGAAATCCCACGTGTTGAATTTGTTGAACAGAGTTTCAGACTGGATAAATCAACAGGAAAGAAGTGTTATATGATGTGTTCAAGAGAACTCCAAATAACATGGGCAGACAATTCCATGTACTGGACATGGACATCTTTACCAGATTCAAGGTATATAATATATAGACCAAATTACTGCCAACCCCCTGAGGTAATGTCAAATTACGAAAAACACCATACCTAATCGTAATTACCAAAAACCCCCTGAGATTTGTTTCCCTCTTCCACCAACCTCTTACCGTGTGACTTTTCATGGATTTTTTTTAATACTAGGGATTAGACCTTACACAATTTCATACATTTTCTTTTATTTAGACTGTACATATTTTCTGTTAAAAAACTCGATCAACAGTTAATCAGAGGGGATTTTGTTTATTACGGATAGGTGGGGCGCTTTTCGTTATTTAGGTAAATGAAAAGTTAGAATTTCTAGAACTCCACTGATTTTCGATTTTGGGACATGTTTTTTCATTCAAATTTCCGTCTTTTTTTTTGGAAAGGAACTGAAATTAGTTTTTCACTTCCGAAATAAATATGAATATTTTCGGACGTGCTAATTTCCGATACAATCCATCCAATCGCTACTCCTATGTCACATAGTCATAATTTCAATTGATTGTACAATAGTGGTTTGTAAAATTTGCAACGGTGTTTCAGATTTGCTGAGGTGGCTGAACTACAAAGTGTATGTTGGCTTGAAATCCGCGCAATATTTAAAGTGCAAATGCTATCGCCTGGCACAGTCTACGAAGCATATCTAGTGTTCAAACTGAATGAGGAACACGATGGGTTTGATTGTTCCTCAGAGGCATCAATTAAGTTGGTAAGAGAAAACGGAACCGAGATTGGAAATGAGATGACAAGCTCGATTTTCATAGTACCACCAACTCAAAGACGTTTAATATGGCGAAGAAGAAGAAGGAGAAGTTTGCCCGGTCAAATAAATGCCGATAATCGAATTTCATGCATTAGAAGAGATGGTTGGTTTGAAATTGAGTTGGGAAATTTTTTCATTGGTGAAGGAGATCAATTTGATGCCCAAATTGAATTTCTTGAAATTGAACATCATAATTGGAAGAGAGGTCTAATTGTCGAAGGGATCGAGTTAAGGCCCAAACACTTTTGATTCTATGCTACACGGTGAAGTCTGCATTCGGTAGATCTGCACTGTTCATCTGTACACACCAACGTGGGTGTTTATGTTATTTGTGTGTGAATAAATGATAGAGATTTACCCGATATATTTCGCCTAGTCTAGTATGGAATAAAAGAGAATTGACTTGCAAAATTTTGTTGTTGTTTTAAAATTTGAAGTGAATTTGTTGTGTGTTTTTGTTATTGGAAGTATTGTGATCGTGTTTACAAGTTCTTTATCATAAAAAAAATTCATATGTACTTGTCCATATTATATATATATATATATATATATATATATATATATATATATATATATATATATATATATATATATATATATATATATATATATATGGGAAAATTACGGCCAGCCCCCTAAAGTAAGGACAAATTATGAAAACCTCCTTCTTGTTTGAGTAATTATAAACACTCCCCTCAATTATATATCATCTCACGCGTGCATTCTTACGGTCTCAAATTTACCTACTAATGAGACAATTTTCGTAAGAAAATACATTATTGATGGGTAGTTATAATTACCCAAACATAAAGAACTTTTCGTAATTTGACCTTAATTCAGGGCCGAATGCGAAAATGTTAATTTATATACATAGCTTAAGTATTAAGTTAGTGATGACTCGGTAATAATTTCCGAGTTTGCCACCGAATTGACTCAGGAGCGAAACATTTATCCCTTTCGAAACAAAACTTAACTACAAAGTTTCACTCCCTTTATTCTTTGTCTAATTATCATTAAACCATTTCACCTATATATATATATATATATATATATATATATATATATATATATATATATATATATTAAGGGGAAAAGAAAAATTGTTAGGCAGCCATGGCAGATGAGAATTCTGAGATTTCAAGGTTTAATTTAATATGCATAGCAAACATCATCTCCTTCACATCCCCTAAAGACGCATGCACGGCGGCGGCCGTTTCTGTTGGGCTCAACTCCGCCGCCGAATCCGACACCGTCTGGGAGCGGTTTCTGCCGCCGGATTACGTCGAGATCGTTTCTGGGTCGAGTTCTCCGGTGGCGGCGTATTCTACCAAAAAAGAACTCTTTTTCTCGCTTTGCGACTCTCCCCGGCTTCTTGATGGGGGCAAACTGGTAAATTCCTCTTCATTCTTTTTTTTATTTATTTATTTTTTTTTCTGTGGATTTTGTAATAATTTTCTGATTTCTGGGTTGATCTATTTGCTGTTCGATTGGCATTTTACTTCTTAAATTCATGGTGAGAGAGTCATTTTATTTGCATGATTTCTTGAACTGGGTCGTTTCCGAGATTTTGGGGGCCTAAGCGAGATTTAAAGACGGTTAAAATATCGGGCGTTTCTACAATCTACAATAAAACTCATTTTTATTGTAAAATAATGATAAACTTTATGTTAACTCGTTTTTGTAAGTATATTAGGCGCCCCTATTGTTTTGAAGGATAATTTGCATTAAATAGCACTAACACAACTGAATATATATATATAAAATTGAATAAATAATACATTATAATTTTAGCAATCAGGTGTCCGCGCATGATTAGAGGAATTCGTTGATTTAACATCTATTTATGAATTAGGGTTTTCAATAATTATATAAATAGTACATTTTTTTTCAATAAATGCTAATTTATAAAGAGTATAAAAGAAATTGAGGGCCCTAATTTAAAAAAAAAAATTCGGGGCTTTAGGCGACCGCCTACTTTGCCTCCCCTCAGAACTGGCCTTGGATGGGCGGAAGGTGTTTGTTAATATGCTACACTGACACTACTTGTTTCTTGTAAATCCGATAATACAATATTTTTCGATTTTTTGGACCGAAAACTGTTCGATATATATATAAAGCCGAAATGTTGAAATTGTTGAATAGAGTTTGAGATTGGATAAATCAACCGGAAAGAAGTGTTATATGTTGTGTTCAAGACAATTCCAAATAGCATGGGGAGACAATCTTATGTACTGGACATGGTCATCTTTACCAGATTCAAGGTATATATATATATATATATATATATATATATATATATATATATATATATATATATATATATATGTGTGTGTGTGTGTGTGTGTGTGTGTGTGTGTATCTATATGTGTGTATATATTATATGGTATTTTCTTACACAGTAAAATCTTAGCCTTGAACTCAAATTTAATTTTGTAAATTTGCAAATGGCATTGCAGATTTGCTGAGGTGGCTGAACTGCAAAGTGTCTTTTGGCTCGGAATGCGCGCAATATTTCAAGCAGAATTGCTATCGCCAAACACAAACTACGCAGCGTATTTAGTCTTTAAACTCATGGAGGACCACGAAGGGCTCGATTGTCCCTCAAAGGCATCGATTAAATTCGTGAGAGAAAAAAACGGATCCGGGATTGAAGAGGTGGACAAGACAATTAGCAATGTTTACATAGTCCCGCGTGTAATGGAGCGAAGAAGAAGAATAAGAAGAAGAAGGGGAGGCTTGCCCGGAACGACTCCCAATGATCGAGTTTCGCGTGTTAGAAGCGACGGTTGGCTTGAAATTGAGTTGGGAGATTTTTTTATTTGTGAAGGAGATAAATTTGATATCCAAATTGATGTTTCGGAAACCAAACATCTTAATTGGAAAAGGGGTCTCATTATCGAAGGGATCGAGTTACGACCGAAAGAAGTATCTTGAGCATTTGGAGATCTAGTTTAATAATGAGCATCTATATATATATATATATATATATATATATATATATATATGCAAAAGTTTCTTTGTTCTTAAATTTGAAGAAAATTACATTTGTAATAATAATATTATTAAGTATTTAATTTTATAGGTGCATAAAGAAATGAAATTTCAAATTTCGTTAGATTCCAATACGATCAAGTTGTTTATGTTCACAATTTCGAAACTTTGTTTCCAATTTCTCGATTTTTTTTAATTGAATTGAAATTGTAAGATCGATTATATAATATAGAGTACAAACACGCTGTGGAATAAGTCAAATTAGAGAGGAGTAGTGGTGAAGAGATAAAAAAACAAAAAAACTTATGCTATTACTCATTCAATCAGCACAAATATAAAAGCTCACTTGAAGATCATCTTTCTTATCTCTCTACACTTTTCTAGCATGTATCTAGCATAATAAATGAATACATAATTTATGGTAATGAAGGAACATGGAGCAACCAACACTGTCGTATAGTAGCCCGCAAATCGTACGAGACATGTAAACTACACTAGGCTAACCATATGTGACAAGTTCGACATAGCGACCGCTGACAAGATGATTCGAACCTGGATCAATTGATACATGTTCACTTGCTCCAGCTGATAGATCATCCCCTACGAGACTAGAACCTTTGATCGCCAACATAAATTAGTTTTTCAATCTCCAACGAATTGAACTTTTTTCAAGCATGCTAATTCTACTCCAACATTCCTTCCCACACTTAACTCGGAATCTATTCAATGCGAATAATAGGGTTCGACGCGGTTATTGCTATGCTACACCCGATGGAGATTACACTGGGTAATTTTTTTACTGTTGATCTACACACACCAATACAGGTGTGTGTGTATTTATATGTATATGAATGGTAAAGATCTACCAAATATATTTCACCGATTTAACGTAGAATAGACCGTACAAAGCTATATAGCAACTTAGCTTGATATTCACTCAACTAAACTTTTATGCACAAAACTCCACTCACAAGAATATATACTCTTGTATAGGAGTACAAGTGTAAGAACTTTTACCCAATTTCCACACTAAAAGAAATTGCCCTAAAATCTGAAGATGGGGGAAATTGATCTCTCTGCAGATGATGCCCACCAACTGTTCGACAGAATGCAAATGCTAAAAGCCTTCGACGAAACAGAAGCCGGCGTCAAAGGGCTAACAGATTCCGGCCTGCTCAAAATTCCCACCATTTTTGTACGGCCACCCGATGAACTGGCTGAAGAATCAACATACAAAAAGACTCAAATTCAAGTTCCGGTGATTGATCTGAGCGAAATCAAGAATTCAGACAGGCGGAAAACCATTGTTGAAGGAGTAAGAATTGCGGCAGAAACATGGGGGTTTTTCCAGGTGGTGAATCATGGGATTCCTCGAACTGTTCTTGATGGGATGATCGATGGAATTCGTGAATTTAACGAGCAAAATATCGAGGAGAAGAAAAAGTATTACACGAGGGATGTAAAAAGAATGGTGAGATATCACAGTAATTTTGATTTGTTCTCTTCGAAAACTGCTAACTGGAGGGATACCTTAAGCATCTCGATTTCCGACCAGATTCATCCCCAAGAATTGCCGGCTTCTTGCAGGTACGTACAGTTAAACATCTATAAATTAATATAGTCGGGACTCGGGATCAGTCAAATTCTATTAATTTAGCGAAATATTAATTTAACAAAATAATTTTTAGCACGTTGCTCTCGAGCCGGGATCAAGAAAACATATTATTTAAACGAGGTTATTAATTTATTGAGGTTCTAATGTATATTTAATATTCCGCTTCCCCTGCACGAAAACTAGGGTGAAATTGGATGACTCGGATCGGAATCAGCACTAACGAAAAAAAAATCCATTTGTTTTCGAAATGTAAAAAAACTGGAAATTTTCGGATTGGAATTGACCGAACTCGGATTTTCCATTTTTCTAGTCACATATAGTATAGAATACATGATAACATTGATATAAAAAAGTGTAGTTTTCAGTTTAAAAAAAATCGAATTTTTGGAAATGAAAATTGGATCGAAAATCGGAGATCTAATATGTATTTCAATTCCATTACTAAAATATCATAAATCGAAACTTTCGGAGTGAAAAGTATTGTTTCATAATCGAAAATATTCGGATCAGAGTCACCAAAGTTCAAACATACGTTCCAATTTTCCACCCTAACGAAAATCGATTTTTGTCCAATTTTTTTATGCACATATATTTCACATAGCATAAGTAAATGAATAGATAGGAATTATGTAAATATTTTCCGTTTTAGCACAGTTAGTTTTTTCTTTTGAATTATACAGGGAACGCACATTGGAGTATTCGAAGCATGTCTCGATTTTGGGAAACACACTACTCGAGCCACTCTCCGAAGCCCTCGGACTAAAATCCGATCACCTAAATAAAATATTGGAATGCTCAAAGGGGCATCGTATTAGCTCTCACTACTATCCACCATGCCCCGAGCCGGACCTAACTCTCGGGACAACTCAGCATTCCGATCCTGGTTTTCTTACAATCCTTCTCCAAAATGAAATCGGTGGATTACAAGTTTTGTATCAAGATCAATGGGTTGATATCGAACCCTCTCTTGGGGGTTTGGTTATAAACATTGCAGATCTTCTCCAGGTACTTATAAAACTTGTGACATTTTCTTTTTTCTTTTTTCTTAGGGTAAATTACGAAAAAACCCTTCTGAACTAAGGTCTAATTATAAAAAACTAGGGGTAAAATTGGTATTTTTTGAGGAATATTCCATGGAATTAAAAAGCTTCCGTCAGAATTCAGACTGTAAGACTGTAAGAGGGACAGTGTAAGACGACAACAAACTATACGCTTTTTTCGTGTAATTATGAATAGATGAGGGTTTTTTTTGTAATTTAATTTTACTTCAGGGGTTTCTCGTAATTTACCAATTTTCTTATAAACATTGCAGATCTTCTCGAGTTACTTATAAAACTTGTGACAATTTTCTTTTTCTTTTTTCTTAGTGGTAAATTACCAAAGAACCCTCTGAACTAAGGTCTAATTGCTAAAACAATAAGGGTAAAATTGATATTTTTTGAGGAATATTCCATGGAATAAAAAATATACAGTCATAATTCACACCGTACGGGGACAATGTAAGCCGATAACAAACTATAGGAGCTTTTCTTGTAATTATTGATAGGTTAGGTTTGTTTTTGTAATTTGACCTTAGTTCAGGGGGTTTCTCGTAATTGACTCTTTTCTTATAAATATGTGTTTGGGATTATGATTTCTTGTTATTGATTTTGGGATGTGTATATATAGTTGGTGTCGAATGGGAAATTTCTGAGCAATAAGCACCGAGTGGTGGCTAACAGAATCGGACCAAGAATTTCGGTGGCATGTTTTTTTTCTGGACCTGTTCGTGAAGTTAAGGTTTATGGACCAATTAAGGAGTTGATTTCAGACGAAAATCCTGCCAAGTATAGAGATGTAATATTGAGTGATTATTTGCTCAAGTTTCTGAACACTGGACTTGATGAGAATCTTGGTCTTGATTACTACAAGTTGTGAAGATTATGGTAATGGCCCAAGAAATACATTTCTTGGGTGGTACTGAATACTCGATATAATTCGGTCCTTGTACGACTTCGGTATCGTTCAGTTACATAAATTGGATTAATTTGAACTATAGTAACTACTTATTAGTTAGTAAGCTGAACGATTACTTAGATTGGATCTTGTATTGAATTTGTGATTTTTTTTGGTATTATATGTGATTTATCCGGAAAAATATCTTGCTTGATGAAGGTAAAATATTAATAGAAGTAATTTTTTTTTTACATTAACCAATAATCAATTATTAATATTTTTTTCAATAAATTGTTACCATTGTTTTCTAATTAATTGTGTAGACACAAGATAGGAGAAAAGGCTAGTGTTGACAAGTGTAGAATTAGGTGTCAATTATTAAATAATTTAAACAAATAATAATACCACATCCACCTACTGGAAGAATGCAAATAATATCTTGATCCACTATTCACTAAAACAAGCAAATCTTATCCGAAGCTGAACCCGGGATGAGTATAACTCAACTAGTTCAGAAGGTGGTAAGTTGGTGCAAAGTTTTAGGATCGAGTACTGGCAGCCGCAGCGTGAGAATATCAACTCCAATGAAGGTCGATTCCTTGTGGGCACCAGACTCGGGTCCACTATCTAACGGACCGTTGGAGTCGCCATGATTTACATCTCTCCCACAACTAGTTCTGAAGGTAATAAATTGGTGCAAGGTCTTAAAATCGAGTATATAAAGACAATTTATATATAAATAAAAGGTTATGTATGTTTATATAGCATATTTGTAAATATATCCCGATAGTTTTTTTATATTTACACATTTCCATTGACTTCTTCCGACAGACGCCATGCCTGACCATTGACTCTTAGACTTTTAGACGTGAATTGAATTATTTGGAACGGAGCTCATATTAAATTCAAACAGTTGAAAATCGAAAGAAATTTTCCAATTTTATTCAATAAAACACTTTAATGAAATTGCATAGAATTTTCGAGTTAAAGAAATTTCTCCGCTAAAAGAAAATTCGTGGGACACTGTTCCTACAACACAAAGTCAGACACTCACGAAAAAGGGGCGTTTAATAGTCAATCTCCTCAAGTTGTTTCACAATTAAATGTTAGGTAGACAAAAGTAAATAGGAAAAATTATAGTTTACACCTTTAAAATTTGCACGGATTCCACATTTGGTTCTTCGTGTTTATAAAAAACATATTTGGTCCTTCATATTTCAAAAATTCAACATTTTTAGTTATTTCCGTCAATTTTTTGTAAGTACCAACGGAATCAAGCGTGTACTGATGATTGCCTTAACTGACGAACTAACGGTAAATTGACGAAAAAAACCAAAAATGTTAAACTATCGAAGCACAATGAATTTTGATCGTAAAATAGCTTTTTGGACGTTCCACCAATGTTAACTAAAATTTGTGTTTTATAGTCTACAGTTTTTTGTGATTTTTATCGTGAAATAGTTTTTTAGACGTTATACCAATTTTAACCAAAATTTGTGTACTATAGCATACAATTTTTGGTGATATTGATCGTGAAATAGTTTTTTTGGACGTTACACCAATTTTAACCAAAATTTGTGTAGCATACAGTTTTTGGTGATATTGATCGTGATTTTTTTTTTTTGACGTTCCACCAAGTCTACCCAAAAATATGTGTATTATAGTATACAGTTTTTGGTGATTTTGATCGTGAAATAGTTTTTTGGACGTTGCACTAATTTTAACTAAAACCTGTGTACTATAAGTATACAGTTCTTGGTGATTTTGATAGTGAAAAAAGTTTTTAAACACACTACACCGAAAACACATACTAGACCGAAAACATACACTACACCGAAAATAACAAAAAAATTATACACACTACACCGAAACACACACACTAAAAACAATTGCACACACTACATTGAAAACACACTAAAAAAATATACACACACTACACCGAAAACACACACTATTCGGTGTAGTTGTGTGTGTTTTTTTAGTGTGAGTTTTCGGTGTAGTGTGTGTATTTTTTTTTTTAATGTGTATTTTCGGTGCAGTGTGTGTGTATTTTTTAGTGTGCGTTTTCGGTATAGTGTGTGTATAGTTTTTTAGTGTCTGTTTTATGTGTAGCGTGTGTAATTTTTCTAGTGTATGTTTTCGGTATAGTGTAGGTATAATTTTTAGTGAGTGTTTTCGGTGTACCGTGTGCATATTTTTCTAGTGTGTGTTTTTGGTGTTGTGTGTGTATTTTTTAGTGTGTGTTTTCGGTGTAGTGTGTGTTTCCGTAGAAATGTGTGTGAAAATTTGTAGAGTGTGGTTACGGTGAGTGTATATATATATATAGATAGAGAGATATGTGTGTAAGAGGATATATGTATAGAGAGTATATATAAGTCCATAGAGTATATACTAATAGGGATATCGTATATATATATATGTAATATACATCTCCCCTCCTACATATATTGATGTATATATATATATAAAAATA